CTTGGGATGGTGGTGGAGGAGCTTCCTTCCAGGTGCTGGGACCAGCTCACCTTCTCTGCTGTAGGAGCATGGGATGGCAGCAGGGGAGCTTCCTTCTGGGTGCTGGGACTGGCTGAGCTTCTCTGCCCTAGGAGCCTGGGATGGAGGTGGGGAGCTTCCTTCTGGGTGCTGGGTCCAGCTGAGCTTCTTTGCCCTAGGAGCCTGGGATGGAGGTGGCGAGCATAGTTAAGAGCTGTTAAAAGCAGAAAATCCAATTATTGAAGTAATACAAATCTTTCTTATGTAGATGAAAATAGTTATCCATGAGGTCAAAACTTAATTCACGTCATACACAACACTCTTTTTAAACTGATAAAACAAACTTTAAAAAAACCAAACAAACTTAAAGTTGTAGCTGTTTTTTGTAGTAAGTCCGTTTTTCTTACATTTACTTGGTTTCAATATATATAAAATGTCTTTTAATTATTGGAAGTTACCAAATGATCTAACATTTAAAATGTCTTAGAAAAGCTGTCCTTTAATATATTCTTAATTATTTAATATATTCTTAAATTTTATGTTAACATTGATTCCTCCTGATTTAGTTCATATATGTTAATATTCAAACTATCAAAATGCCCAGCCCTCAATCTTTTAATCTTACCTGTTGCCTTGAACCAATGGATGTTTTCACTTTTTGTAATCTTGTCACATATTTGATACAGAAATGAGAATAAAATTTCTGATACTCATAATTTAAAAAAAAATCCTGAAATTCATTTGGAACCAGAAGAAACCCAGAATAGTGAAAGCAATTCTGAGTAACAAAGGCAAGGCAGGGGACATCACAATTCCTGACTTGAAATTATACTACAAAACTACAGTGATAAAAACAGTGTGATACTGGAAAAAAAAAACAGACCTGAGAATCAATGGAATAGACTAGAAGATCCAGAAACAACTCTAACCTCCCTCAGCCCCCTTATCTTTGACAAGTGGGCTAAACATCTTCACTGGAAGAAAGATAGCCTCTTTAATAAATGGTACTGGAAAAACTGGCTTACCACATGCTGAAGGCTAAAACTAGACCCATGTCTCTCATCATGCACTAAACTAAAATCAAAATGGATCAAAGATCTAAATATTAAAACAGAAACATTAAATCTTCTGGAAGATCGAACAGGTAGAACTCTTGACAACATTGGTGTAGGTAAAGAGTTTATGAACAAAACCCCAATTGCATAGGGAAATATCACAAAGAATCAACAACTGGAATCTCATCTTATTAAAAAGCTTGTGCACAGCAAAAGAAACCACCAATGAGTGAAGAGACAGAGTTAAGAGACAACCCAGAGTGGAAAAAAAATTTTGCTACCTGTTCCTCAGACAAAGGACTAATATCTAGAATATATAAAGAACAAAAAAAAAAGACCTCTCAAATTTAAAGACCCAATCCAAAAATGGGCATCTGAAATGAACAGACAATTCTCAGACAAAGAAGTACAAACAGCAAATAAATATATGAAAAAATGTTCAACATCACTGGTCTTTTGAGAGACGCAAATTAAAACAGCACCAAGATTCCACTTCACCCCAGAAAGAATGGCTATTACCAAGAAATCAACCAATAACAAATGCTGGTGGGGTTGTGGGGAGAAAGGAACCCTTCTTCATTGTTGGTAGGAGTGCAGACTGGTGTGACCTCTGTGGAAATCAATATGGAGATACCTCAAAGAACTAGAGCTCCAGGTCCCATTTGACCCAGCTTTTCCCCTGCTGGATATCTTCCCAAAAGAAATAAAAGAATCATACCACACAGTGATATATGCTCACCCATGTGTATAGCAGCACAATTTGTAATAGCTGAAACTTGGAAACAGCCCAAGTGCCCATCAACTGGAGGCTGGATAAAGAAGACGTGGGTTTTTTTTTTTTTTAATAAAATGGAGTACTACTCAGCCATACAGAACGAGAAACTAGAGACATTTATAGCTAAGTGGATGCACAGTGAGGCCATACTCTTAAGTGAAATAAATAGGACACATATGTGTAAATACCAAATAGTTTCTCTGGTGTGAAAAACTAAAAGTGTAAATCAGGATCAAAATATATAATTGACATTGTGTAATAGGAAGAAAAGGTCTACAGGAGTAGGGGAAGTGCGAGGGGTAGGGGAAAGGAAAGAAGGGAAAAGAAAAAATTTGAGAAAAGGAAAAAAATGGAAACAAAGTCTTTGTAAATAGGGAAGGGTGGAAGGGGTGAAGGGAGGGCAGGGGAATGGAGAAAAAACAAGAACCAAGATGTGTCATGTAAAGGTACAAGATCCTAACGATGAATGTAACTGTATTGTATACCTAAAATGTACCAATCAACTTAATGAAAAAAAAAACAAACCAAATGCTGGTGGGGGTATGGGGAAAATGGAATCCTTCTCCCCTGTTAGTGGGAGTGTAGTGTAGACTGGTGCAACCATTGTGGAAATCAGTGTGGAGATTCCTCAAAAAACTAAAACTAGATGTTCCATTTGACCCAGCTATCCCCCTTCTTTATATATTCTCGAAAGAATTTAAAGCATCATATCACAGCAATATATGCACACTCATGTTTATAACAGCACAGTTTGTAATAGGTAAATCTTGGCAGCCCAAATGCCCATCAACTGATGAATGGATTAAGATGTGGGTTTTTTTTAATATAATGGAGTAGTACTCTGCCATAAAAAGGATAAACTTGAGACATTTATAGGTAAATGGATGCACCTTGAGATGATACTCTTAAGTGCAATAAATTGGATACACGTGTAAATATTGCATTGTTTTTCTGGTGTGAGAAACTGAAGCTGTAAATAAGGACCAAAATGTATAACAGATATTAGGAAATGGGAAGAAAATGTTTAAATGGGAAGGGGAACTAGGGAGAGGGAGAGGGAAAGGAAGGAAAGGATAAAGGAAAAAAGTGAATAGAAGGAAAAAATGGAAACAAAGCATTTGCAAATAAGGAGGGAAAGAAAAGTTGAAGGGAGAGGAGGGAAATGGGAAAAAAAGGATGAAGATATGTTATATACAGGTACACTTTCCCTATGATGAATGTTATCATTATGTATATCTAAGATGTCCCAATAAAATTAATTTTAAAAAACCAAAATCATAGTGGATACATTGAAAGATAAGATTTCCTGCAATCAAATATGCTACTGTGGATAAATTGTCTCTGTAGCATTTTACAGATTGTTTACATCTTTTATTGGAGTGAATTTATTAACATTTCAAATGGCAAAAAAATGGTACTTTATAATTTGAAAAAGTTCATAAGCTATGTTGTGCTAACTTATGTCTTTTCCCAATTAGCAACTTAGTAATGTTGACCTACTTTATATGCCCATTTTTTACATGCCCATTTACATTTTACATCCCATTGGGGGGGGTACTAGGCGTCAAACCAGGGGTGCTTTATCAGTGAGGGGCACTTCACCAATTTTTTAATTCTGTTAGTGTGAGAGTCTCGCTAAATTGCTTAGTGGGGGATTGAATTTGTGATCTTCTTACCTCAGTTTCCCAAGTAGGTAGTATTACAGTTGTATACTACCATGGCCAACCAGACTTGTAAATTCTTGTGGATTTAAATCTGATTGCAATATGACGGCCTCAAAATGTTAAAACAAATTATTTTTTAATGTACTCACTTATTCATTTAATAATGCTGCTTTTTCTGATTGTTGGTTTGCCCAGCTCTACAACTGTAAAGATTATTGAAAGTATATGCAAGGGCCGGGATTTAGCTCAGTGGCACAGTGCCTGCCTGGCAAGTACAAGGTTCTGAGTTCAATCCTCGGTACAAAAAAAAAAGTAGGGCTGGGGCTTTAGCTCAGTGGTTCTGCTACCTGCCTCAAAAGCGCAAGGACCCCGAGTTCTATCCCCGGTACCAAAAAAAAAAAAAAAAAAGAAAAAAAAAGTATATGCAAGTTACTTTCAGAAATTAGAAACTAAAATGTAAGTACTGTAAAAATTGCTATTGCAACTATTTACATTTTAATCTGCAATTTAGTACACTATTTTGTCTTTAGATTCACTATTTTTTCCTCTTCTACTTGTAGCAGTACGGTATTCAGAGTTTTTCTTACAGGTACAGGTCTCTTTATCTGATACTGTGTGGCAACCTTGGCCTTGAGTCCCACTGTTAGCTCTCTCAGGTACTTTTTTTGTATTTGACAAAATAAATCCATGCTCTCCACTTGCAGCATGATACCTAGCATGTGTTGGAAACCAGTAAAAGGCTGTCATTGGTAGTGTAGGTTAATAAAATTTTTGGTGGGTAATTAGCTAGTATTTTTCAAAGTTTGAAAAATGTGTGTCTTCCATTCCAGTAATTCTACTTGTAAGAATGAGATATAGTTGTGTATGCGTATAAGCATGCTCACATTGAATCATTATCCATTAAGAATAAAACCAAAACTGAAATAAAATTGGAACAAGCTTGCGGTCTATCAAGTTAGTCTGGTTAAATAATGGTTCTTTTCTTTGTGTTACTTATAATCAGTGAAATGTTTTCCTGTCATTAAAAAATAGGGAGACATATGCATAAATTCACTAGGAAAATCAAACAAAATGGATCGTATACGGCTTTTATATAAGAAGAGTTTAAATGTAAATGTAAACAATTGGAGTCGAAGAAAACACAAGGAACTAGGGCGGCGGGTTTTACCTTTTATTCCCTGTCCAGTACAGAATTTGAATTCTGAAGGGTGCACATACAAACAGATCGACATGTGCTCCCGGCTTCCGGCTATGGAGGGCGCTGTGGACACCAGAGTCCTGTTTACCAACCTTGCGTCTAAAACAGCGTGGCGACGCCGACGCAACGGGCGGGGGCGCAGGCGCAGTAGCGAGGAACCCGAATGCTTTGGATCCGGTTCGCTGCTTTGCTACGGAGGGCGCTGGCGCTACGGCTCTGACTCGCTCGGTATCTGAAGGGCGGTTTTTCGGGGCCTACATGAACCAATGGCATCATGCCCGCAGTGGCTGGGGCCGCGGACGCGACGTTACTGGACGCCCTTCAACCAAGAAGAAAGGTGGAAACCGCATCCCGGAAAGGTAATGAAGCTTAGCCCCGGGTCTTGGCCCTCCTGGCTTGTAGCGTCTGGGCGCGGCTCCACCTCGCGCTCTCGGCCTCACCCTGAGCCCTGGCGCGCTTGCCCCGGCATCCCGCCTGACGAACCTGGCCCCTCCCTGCGCCGCCTCCCGCGGTAGCCGAAAGGAACTGTGCGGTTAGTTCTGTGATTTCTCCCCGTCGTTAGAAAGAGAGCTGTGTCCAGTGCTCCTCCGGTAAAATACAGAAAGACTGCCCTGATGCGGGACTAATTGTGTTGGGGACACTCCTAAATGACCAAAATGCTGTCTAGCCGCGATTACTCAAATTACGTTATTTTACCACAGAAAATTCGAGTAAGAAGTTTAAAGGGGCCTCCGCCCCCACGGCCTCGCAATCGACCTTCTGAAGTTTCATGTGAAGTTTGTTTACAGTGTTTCCAGGCATCACAGGGAAACTGGTGCTTCCTAACACGTGTCCTCTGAGAAACGTGCTTTCAAATAGTTTTTAAAATTTTGCTCGCCCCGCGTGGTGGTGCACGCCTGTAATCCCAGCACTTGGGACGATCTCCGTGAGTTCAAGGCCAGCCTGAACTGCATAGGACGACCTTGTCTCAACACCCCCCTCCCCCCGCCAAAAGACTTTGCTTGTATATTCCGTGACCCCCTTCTACTCCCTGAGACTTTCTGCCGTCTCATACTTGAAGTCTGTTTCGTTTTGTCTCCCCAATAATTTTTGAATCTGTCATCTCTCTCTTAGCGTCCTAATGCAGATCTTGACTGACCTATTGTAGTTAAATAGGAGTAGTGTCCATATATCTACTCTTTACTTCCTTGCAGTCCGTGAATCACACAAGAACTCTTAAATAGGTATTAAAAATGGAAATTGAGCTGTAGTTGGAAGATAGCTCATAGACATTTCTGTAAAGCATTGTTTTAAGCAAAGAAATGAAAGTCTGGTGTGCCTATAATCCCAGCACTGGGGAGGCTGAATCAGGAGGATCCCTGCCAGTTCGAGTTTAGCCTGGTCTACATAGTGAGTTCAAGGCCAGTCTGAACTACATAGCAACATCCTATCTCAAAAAACCCCCAAAAAACCCACCACAAACTTAAGCAAAAATCCCCTCCTTTTTATGGCCTGTAATATAAGGGTTTGCATGGTTGGGATCTTCTCTACCTCTCCAGTCCCATCTCTTGCCACTCTTGTCCTCACTTTTTAAAAAATCTTAAAATATACTGAATTAAACTTAATTTTCACTCATTCTACAGAAGTATTACTCAAGTATTACTTTTCACTGAAACTCCTAGCATCACTAAATAAAGTTCACAGTTGCTGTTTTTATGAGCTGTTCTCTTCAAATATGAATTTGAAGCTTTCTTCTGATTGAATTTAATTGTCTCAGTTGTATAAAGACAAAAACTTATGAAGTGACAGAATTGAATTTAAATCATTTCATCCACTGTGTATGTATTAATGATACCTTCTTATTTGCTACTGAGTTATGTTTTTATCAGAGATATATAAGTTCACCAGCTTTTTATATTCGTTAAGTGTGCAGACTTTTGTCCTGTTTTGTTGCAGAATAGCTGTTTTCCAGATGGGAGCATGGGAAGAAAGAGATTATCAGTTTTTACTAGGCAGGGATGAATAAGCTGAGTGGCAAAATGCAAAGATGGGACGTTCTGGGTGTGCTGTAACTCCTGTTTTCAAGGAGCCTTCATTCTATGGAGGAAGACAAGGTTAAAATACAATTTGGTTGACAAAAAAACATATCTACTAGGTGGAAAGACTATCTCCCAATTGGACAGCGGATGCCTGGGACTCGTTTCATTGCTTTCAAAGTACCTTTGCAAAAGGTAAGCAGAAGTTAGTTCAGTATTCTTTCAGAAACCTAAATTCACCCTGTAGAACACTGGTTCTCAATCTTGGCACATTTCAGTTTCTGTTTTTGTAGCAAATACGTTGTAATGTCTTTGTACTGTCCTGAAGTTAACTTCATAAATGAGTATGATCTACTTCCATATGTAACTAAGAAACCAGTGTAACATTCTCTGTAGAATATAAAGAATAAACTGGGTTCATAATAAAGTAATATGTTTTCAGTATATAAATACTTGTGCATGACTACACTAGAACATATAAAAAAATGATTGATTGCATCATCAGTGAAAGAACTATGAATGCAGACTGTGATCTAGGTGGGTTATATTTCAGTGGTAGAGGCTTCCATGATAGCAAACAACTATTAGTAGATTTCTAAACAAAACAAAGTACAGCCTTCTCTTTGTTGATAAAGCGATTACTATCCTGGGAAATTTAATATACATTAAAATTGTGCAAAAAATACTTTATTTGTAAAAAGAAGTTAAGTTCTAAGGCTTAGATAAATAGGAACAGTTTTTGCTTTTTAACCCTATATTAATGTTTTGTATTGTTTTTTGTACTGGGAATTATACTCAGAGCCTTGGCTTGCCAGGCAGGTGCTGTACTGCTGAGCTACATCCTCAGCCCTAACCTATATTAATGTTCAATAGGATGTTCAAATTCATTTATGAGATGGAACACACAGATATATGTATATATCTATATCTATATACATATCTCAAGTGCCTTTTTTTCTTTCAATCACTAGAAGACAGATTTGTAATATAGCTTCCAGAAGAATGGAAACTTTCCTTTGAGTCTCATTGTATGTTAGTGTCATATGCCTTGAATAACTGCATAAAATATAGTTTAGAATAAAGTGTACATTTGCTTTCTCTTATTTTATTCTCTCTGACAGAATTTTGAAGTGAATCTTGCTCCAGAAGAACGATTTTCTCTTTTGGATCTTTTTAACAAAATCCAAGAGCAAAATGAAGAGCTTGGACTGATTATTGATTTAACATATACTCAGCGCTATTACAAACCAGAGGTAAATACTTAATTGAAAAGAACTTTGTTTATTCTGATACTAAAATAACTGAAAGTAATTCAGTAATAATTGAGTAGTTTCCATCTTGTGTTAATATGAAGCCTGGCCATTCATGGGTAGTAGTAAATGATAAAGGGGAACAAGTAAATGGTTTCCTTAACTACCTGTTTAAATTGTTGTCTCCAAATGGGATTGGAGACATGACTTAAAATATAATATTTGGTCATCATTAGCACTGTCTATATGGAAATTATTTTCATCATTCTCGACGAGAACTTTGTAACCCTTAAACAAAAATTCCTCTGTTCCTTCATCTCCTTAGCCCCTGGTAACTTCTAATCTACTTTCTAGCTCTGTAAATTTGCATATTTTAGGTACCTTATACAAGTGTGTTATACAGTATTTTCCTTCTATTTCTGGCTATTTCACTTACATATTTTCAAAGTTCATTCATGTTGTACCCTATATCAGAATCTTTTCCTTTTTATGGCTGAATATTCTGTTGTGTGTATGTGCCAAGTTTTGTTTATCCGTTCACTTATTGGTAGACACTTAGGTAGTTCCTTTGCCTTTTGTGAGTAATGCTACTATGAAGATTGGTGTACAAATATTGTTCAGATCCTTGCCTTCAGTTCTAGAGGTATAGGTAGTGAAATTGCTGGGTCATATGATCGTTCAACCTTGTGAGAAACTGGCAGAGCTTTACAGTGCTATATTCATGCTTTTAAGCTATTACTCTTAACATATACATTCTAAACATATACAGAAAGAAGCATACTTATTAGTGTTCATTGTACAACCATTAATTCATACAACTGTTTTTTTTTGGTTTTTTGACACAGGATCTCACTAGTTCAGGCTGGACTTGAGCTCACTGTGTAGCCCAGGCTGGACTTGAACTTGCAGTGATCCTCATGGCTCAGCCTCCTGAGTGCTGGGATTACAAGCATGTGCCACCATGCCTGGCTCATTCAACTTCAATATTTATGTGGACTATTGTGTTTTGATATACCCTTGTCTTTACTCATTCTCTGTTATTTTAAAACAAATCTCATATATAACTTCATCTCTATATCTTTAGTATATGTATTTAAAATATAGTACTTTTATTCCTACCAGTTCTTTAATATCAAATACCCAGTCTATTGTACAACTTGGAATTATTTCCTAAATGTCATAAAAAATTGTCACCAGGCAGTGGTTAATTTGGTTATGTCTTAATTTATAGATTGCCTTTCATGTCTGTCTCTCTTTTTTTCCCTCCTTGTTGAATGAGTTATTACTTTCTAGTCCTTTTAATTTCTGCAGATTGGTAATTGAACCTAGTTTAATTGGAGCTCAAGCCTGGTTTTGGTTTTTTTCTTTTGCAAGACATTTTATAGGTGATATGTTTCCTTTTATCAGGAGGCTTAAAAATGGGTGGTTTTCTTTTATGATATAAGTAGTCGTTGATTGACCCATTAGTTTTTGGAGTACATAAAAAAAGGTAAATTCTGTCTTTTGTTTTTAAATTCATCAGCTAGGTGTAGTTCTGCAAAGAGGAATTTCTCCTCATCTATTTGGTTGCCCAGTTTTGTAGGCATAATTCTTTTTATTAAATAGTGTTTGAAATAATAAGTTGGTTCACTAATACCTTCCAGCTGGATTTTATTTAACTAATCTGGTTTTTGTGTTATTATAAACTCCACTGCAGTTGTCTCTTATTGAGGCACAGGTTGACGCCTTGTCTTTGAACAATTGGAGCATCTCTGTTTGGCTTCTTTTGATAACAATCCTAGTAGTCTTTGATCACTTTTTTTGGTATTTGTATGAAAAAAGTTCCAACACATCTCATATACATCAGTCTCAACCCAAATCATCCATTGTAACAAGCTGTTTTGATTTCTTTTAGTGGGAATATTTTAGACTACAGTCTGAGTGCTAAGAGGTGCAGTGGTACTGGGCCGAACTTGTTCCTAGGCTTTTTCTATGGGTAGATCTGGGAACTGTGTTTGTAATGTAAACTACATCATGGATTCAGACTGATAACTTTCCATCCATTTAAACTTAGAGCTACAGGATTTTCACTTACCTTTTCTGTCTCCTACCTGTATCTAATTTCTCCTGCCCCAAGAATATTTATGCTTCACAGCTGCTTTATGAAGGCATTGGGCCTTGAAATGTGAAATATTAGGTAGCACTGCTCATAGAATTTTAAGTTATACTGTATTTGTACTCATTCTCGTGGAATTAGCTATGTCTTGTATACCTGTTCGTTATCTGTCCTGTAGTTTTATCAAGTAATATATATTGGTTGAACCAGCTTTGGAAAAAATAGCTCGTTCATCAGAATCGCTGACATTCAGAGTTTATTATATTCTCTTGGCTTATCAGATTGTTCTAATTAATTTTTAATTTTCTACAAGTAAAATAATGTGTATTTTTCTTGTTTTGCTTTGTAGGATTTGCCAGAAACTATTCCTTATTTAAAAATTTTTACAGTTGGGCATCAGGTGCCCGATGATGACACTATTTTTAAATTCAAGTGTGCTGTTAATAAATTTTTGAAGAACAATAAAGATAATGGTAAGTTTTTATTTAAAAAAATTACATTTTGAATGGCATTGGAGATTTTTGATCGTTGTAAATTTTGACATTAAGCCTGTAATCATTTTACCTGTTAAGGTGAAAATGTGAGAAGTTGATAATACAGTGTTTTTTCATTTTATTGGTCAGAAAAAGTTTTCTTTGGTAAGTGATTTTAGTGAGAAAGATGAACTGAAGTAGCTTACTCATATAACAAAATAAAAATTTTGTTTCATCTTCTGTGTTGGTTAAGAGATGACAGATAAGAAAAACAGAAAAATCTCAGGATCTGAGAGTTACAGAAAAGAAACAGCAAAAGGTAAATGTTAGGCAGTCCCAAATAGAACCAAAATAAGACAGTGTGGGTCATTAAATTGTACGTTTGTTTTACATATTTAAGATATTTCCATTGTTTTTTCCCCTTTGATTCCAGTTTTGCTCGTGTTTAGTACCAAGTGAGTGAAGGCTGGTCTGGTCTAGCTCAGTGTTTAGAGTACTTGCCTCCAGTACTGCCCCTCAAAAAAGTGAGAGGGAGGCATGAGGTATGGTCTGAGGAAGAGAGGAGAGAACCAACAGACAAATGAACAAAAAGAAAGTTAAGGCATTTCATTTGTTTCATTCCAAAACAAATTTCATTCTTTTTGACAACTCTTGTTTTGCTTGCTTCTTCTGTAATTAAATCAATTCTAATGGATACTTTATATTAAGACAAATGACTTTGTCTCAGTGCAGTTTTAGCTGTTAATACCTGTCCAGGCTTTCTGCAGTTTACATCATTGGGTCTAATGGGGACTATGCGAATTTTCCTATAGAAAGTGAATATTGGTTTTCTGGTAGGTGATTCTGTATAACATGTTCCTGAAAAACACATTTCTTTTCAGGGTATTGGTAATGTTTCTGATTCTTTTTTTTTTTTGGTACTGGGGATCGAACTTGGGTCCTTCCGCTTGCAAGGCAGGCGGCAGAATCACTGAGCTAAATCCCTGGCGCAGGGTACTGGTAATGTTATAGTAACTTCTACATGCTACTCTTGAGAAAATCGTCTAATTTACCTTTAGTGTATCTATTACAGTTACTTCACTCTGTATTTCTTGTTTTATAGACAAACTTATTGGTGTCCACTGTACCCATGGTTTAAACAGGACTGGCTACCTCATCTGCAGGTGAGTTGCCAACCCTAGAGGTAAATCATGTTTAAGTTATTTTTGTCTGATTACAATGATATTGTAAGCTTGTTTCAAAAAATGCAATCAGTATAGAAATATGTGTAGAGGTCTTTTGCTTCGTTTGTTAGGTTGATTCCTAGTATAGAAATATGTGAAGCAGAAAGCATTTTTGTCTGCCACCAAGAGGTTACTATCATTAATATTTTAATATATATCTTTTTAGTTTTCAGAGATGTAGCTGAAAGCATATATATGTAGTTTCTGGTATAATAGATATGCTATTTAACACAATGTGTTATATAGACATGTTTCTGTGAAAGTTCTTACTCTTTTTAAAGGCTGCATTGTTCATCCACATACTGATGAGCATGAAAGTTAGAAGTTTTCAATATTAAAATAATGCATATTCCTCTGTGAACATCTTCAAATACATATGGAGATGTTCAGAGATAATTTCTGTTAGAATGGAAATTTTTTTTTTTTTGGTTTTTGGAGATAGAGTCTCGCTTTGTAGTTCAGGCTAGCCCTGAGCTCACTATGTAGCCCAGGCTACCCTCGAACTCATAGTGATCCTCCTGCCTCTGCCTCCCTAGTGCTGGGATTACAGGCCACCACGTCTGGCTAGAATGGAATTTCTGAATCAAAGTATGCATTCTTACACTTTTCATGGATATTTGATGGGTACTGTGCCTATTTATGTTTCTTCATTCAGAAAATGTAAAACTACCCTTTGTGAAGGAATAGGCATGAAAGAGTCACACAAATGCATATAAAATTATAACTGACAGGTGTTTTGCAAAGAGACGTGATGTTATGAGAGATTATAATGGAAAAGATTTGACCTCATCAAGAGTAGAGAATGCAGGCTTCCACGAGGAAGTTTGAGGCAATATCTGAAGATTGAATTGATACTAATCAGGTAGGGACACGGTGGAGAGAATTGTGTCTATAAGGAACAGCACAGACCCTAAACAGGTCAACATACATTGTGTTGGGGGGGTACCATGGGGTACGTATGATACTAGATTGGAGGTGGCAGTATAAGTAGGAGACAGATCATGCAGAACTATATTTAAGTTTTGTTTTAAGAACAAAGAAAAGCACTGAATTTTTTGGTAGTGGTGAGTGTCTGGAACATAATAAAATTCTGTGTTTTCAACCTATCATTTTACTACTGAGTGGAGAATGCACCACAGAGGAAAGAAGTAGAAATAAGGAGTCAGGTTAGGAAACTTACAGGAAGTGAGGCAGAATGGTATCTTGGAGCAAGATGTGGTGGGTATTTTGGTGGAAAATGTGATCATACTCCAGAGATTATTTAGGTACTATCTTTTCATAATTTGATGGTGGGGTGAAGATGAGAATGAGAGGAAATGAAACAGTGATGATGCTCCTGTTTCTGGCCCATACAGTTGGTTACAATATTTTTAAGATGTGATTTATTATTTTTCCCAGTTCGTCTTTTGCTTGTTGTTGGTACCTGATAAATATTCTGTCATATTAAGGAAGTCTTCTGTGTTTTAGTGTACATAGCATTTTGTTCAAAAATTCCTCTTGAAGTTTTTCAAGTACCTTTTAAACACCTGCCATTTGGGGGCTGTATTTTCTTTTCTTTCTTCTTTTAATTAAATTATTATATTAATGTATGTACTTTTATTAATAGATTTTCTAAAGTTGGGTCATCCTTGCATTCTTGGAGTAGTCTTTTTGTTGTTATGGCATATCATTCTTTAATAATTGTTGGATTAGATGTGCTGATATTTCCTTAGCATTTTTATGTCTCCATTTGTAAATGAAATTGGACCTTTTTTGAAAAAACCTTTTTTTCTTTTTGTATATATAAATGACCCAAATTATGTTGTTTTGTTAGATATTTGATTGATGTAGAAGGCATGAGGCCAGATGATGCAATTGAATGTAAGTATGAGGGTTGTCGCTGTTTTTTCCCGTTTTATAAAAATTAAAGGTAAAGATATAAATGAATTTCTCAAATTTTGAAAAAAATTCATAATTCATTTGCTTCAATGTAAGATATAAAAAAAGAAAACTCTTGGGGCTGGGAGTGTAGCTCAGTGATAGAGTGCATGCCCAGCACCAAAGAAACAAAAACCCCAAAACCATATAAGGTAATCTTTTACCAAAAGTTTATAAAGGGATGTATCTGGAAGTGGTGAGCTGTAACAGCCTAAGTAATTAGTGATTTTATTTTAATCTCTGTGGGAAAGATTTGGGTTTTGTACAATAATTTCTAACAGTTCATCCACTCCTCAGTATTCAATAGGTGCCGAGGACATTGCATAGAAAGACAAAACTATGTTGAAGATCTTCAGAATGGTCCTGTCAGAAAGTAAGTCTTGCATTTCATATGCGAAGTTTGTGGTTCTGGAGATCTTTTTTTTATATAATTCAAGTTGGATATATCCATTCTTTTCATAGGTTCTTCCTTACTGGGGGAAACCTAAAAAATAGAAATGAGAGGAGGAAGAGATTGTTACTTATATAGGTCAAAAATGGAGTAACTGGGCCAGGGATTTAGCTCTGTGGTTCTGTTGCCTGCCCCGCAAGTGCAAGGACCTGAGTTCGATCCCCAGTACCAAGAAAAAAAAA